GGAGGTTTTCATGCATCATGGTGGGAAAGCAGAGTTCACATCATTGTAACCAGGATGGAAGGAGCAGGGAAGAGAGGGAGAGGGAGAGAGAACAGGAGAAGGAGGAGGAGGCAGAAGAGGCAGAGAGAAGGGAGGGAGGAGGAGAGACACAGAGAGAGGCAAAGAGACAAAGAGAAACACAGAAAGAGGCAGACCCCATCCCTGCAGAGAGACAGAGACATAGAAAGGCAGAGAGTCAGAAAGAAACAGAGTCAGACACACACACACACACACACACACACACACACACGACAGAAAGAGAGACACACAGAGAGAGACAAAGAGAGAGAGGGACAGAGAGAGCAGTCCTGCACCAGTGACCTCTTTCTTCTGTTCATCTGGCCTGAGCATGCGAAGTGGTATGCTCCCTCTTGGTTAGGCATCCCTGGAAATGCTGTCGTGGCAGGAGATATGTGCCGTGTTAATCTCCCAGGCCATTCTCAAGACTGTCAGGTTGACAGTCAAGATTCAGCCTCACAGGCACTAATAGATGATGACAATGAGTAAGCGCATGAGAAGGTGCTCAGAATCAGTCAGCAGAGAAATGCAAATGAAAATCAGCATTAGAATAGCTATAATTAAGCATAAATACATTTTGAAAATTTAAATTACGTTTTACTTATTTGCTGTGCATGTTGTGTGTGTACACATGTGGCGTCCAGAAGACGGCTTGTGAGACTGAATCCTTTTCTTCCATCATATAGGTCCGGATGCATGCTCAGTGCTGCTAAGAACCCACGAGGAATGGTTACAACTGTGATTTCAAAGAGATGTGTGGCCCAGCAGCGGGTCAGTTTGCTCCTCTGTAGAATGGTTCTTCCTGTTGCGCTGTTTGAGGAGACTGCAAAACACAAAGGTGGTGTTCAGAGAACCAGTGATCTGGCAGCTCCAAGCTTCCTCCCTCTGTCCCTCCCTTCTTCATCCATCCCTGCCAGCTTTCTTTTTCCCCCTAGTTTTTTCTTCACATTAACTGTGATTTATTATTGATAAACATGCTTGAAGGGGCAATGTGTGCTTGACGCAGACATGTGAGCACAAGACAAGTTAAAGTATATAATGCAAGTTTATTGGAAGTAGTTCTAGTCTACCATGCAGGGGAAAGGGGAGAGAGAGAAAGAAAGAGAGAGGAACAGAGAGAGAGAGAAAAAAAGAAAGAAAAAAGAGGGATAAGAAGAGGAGAAGGAGGAGGAACAAGACAGAAAGAGAGAGAGAGAGAGAGAGAGAGAGAGAGAGAGAGAGAGAGGAGAGGAAAACCAAAATGTCAGGATTATATAGTGAAAGGGGAGGGGAAGCCCCTGCTCCTGGCCTGGAATGTTCAGGATAGAGGGCAGGGTATGCTAGCCATGCTCTACACCAGAAAAGGACCAAGGGATGTTGGGAGATGCTTAATAATAATTATTGTATATTATATATAATTATATAATATATATTAATAATTATAATTATTATTATCCAAAGCTGGCATACAAAGAAAGCAGTTTAAGTCAGGTGTGGTGGCACACATCTTTAATCCCAGTGCTTGGGGGGCAGAGACAGGCGATCTTTGTGAGTTCCAGGCCAGCTGGGGTTACATAGAAAAGAATTTGACTGAACAAAATGAAGTAGAAAACCGTAACAACAAAAAGGGGTTCCCACTGTGAACCCCTTCTCAAACTTGCCCATCATTACACTTTGCCCACTGCTCCCTGCTTCCTGCTCCCATCTCCTTCCCTCCTCTTGCTGGTCTTCTCTCCTGTGACACACATATTCCATTGCCTTCTCTCTCTCTTTTAAAGATTTATGTATACAATGTTCTGTCTGCATGTACACCTGCCCATCAGAAGAGGGCACCAGATCTCATCATGGATGGCTGTGAGGCACCATGTATTTGCTGGAAATTGAACTCAGGACCTCTGGAAGAGCAGCCAATGCTCTTAACCTCTGAGCCACCTCTCCAGCCCCATTACCCTCTCTTACCCCTCTTTAGACTTCTTCCTCCCTCTCACAGTTCCATTTCTATTTTCATGTCCTACACTCATGGGTACTTAACCTCATATGAAAGAAAACAAGATATTTGTTTTCGCTGTTCAATTCATGTCAGTTTGTCACGAACTGGAGTCACCTGGGAAGAGGAACCTCAGTTGAGGGATGGCCACCATCAGATTAGCCTATAGGGGTGTGTCTGTGGGGAAATGATCTTGATCCAGGATTGACATGGGAGGGCCCATCCCTAGGCAGGTGGTCCTGCAGTGTATTTAAAGAAAGAAAGAAAGAAAAAAGTCTGAGCAGACCAAAGGAAGGAAGCCAGAAGCAAGTGCTCCTTGTGGTCTCCGTTTGAATTCCTGCCTCGACTTCCCTTAATGGTTGACTGAGACATGGGGTGTTGGTGGAGAACAGGGTGACTGTGGGCAGGGCTCTCTCTCTAGAGCCTGGCCTCTCTCCCAACCCAATTCAGCCTCAAGTTTTACTTTCCTAGCTTCTCAGACACTGCTGCCCTCTGGTGACCTAGACAGATATAGGACAAGGCAAGGGTAGAAGTGGGAGCCGGTGGCAACATTGGAGGAAAGAATGGTGGACTAGGTAAGGCTCCTAGAACGGAGGAATGTCTGTGCTGAAGAAGACACATGATTTCACCCAGGGCTGGTGAGAGGATAAAAGGACAGATGGAGCGATGACAGAAAAAGCTGCCTGCCTCACGGAGCCCCACAGTATGCCTGGTGCTCACATCTCACGAGGTGCTTTCACCACGATCCTGGGGAGGCTTGCTCAGGGTCAAGCAGTTAGCCAGGCACAGGAGACAGGCCCTGTGACTTGCTAGCACACTCTGACTGCCTCCACTTCAGCAAGGACAGAGGAGCCTGCTCAGTGGAGGCACAATCTTGTAGTCTGGGCATTTGGACTTTGTCTCAGCAGCATGACACCTAGAGCCACCTAGGCGGAGGAGTGGACATGGCTCCTGTGGACATGAGCAGGCTTGCTGGTGCAGCCTTCAAGGCTAGACCTTTGACAGACAGATGGAGCTGCACACTTGGGGGGGGTGGTGGTTGTTCCTCCTTAAGTTCTAAACATCGCCTGAAAGATGAGTCCTTTTGGAATTTTTGCCAAAGCCTTGGAGTCCTTTTAAGGGCATCTTAAGACTAGTTTTCACAATTTTTTTTGACCCACTGTTATGGTCAAATGGCTTAAATTCAAAAGGCACAAAAATGAAAAGCCAGGCCCCTTTCTGCCTCCCTCCAGCTAGAGCCTTTGCGTAGCTCTCTAGAGCCATCAGCGCACTGGTGTCTTCTTTCAGCACATCGCTTAGCTGTGTCACCCATCTCAAGGCCCTTCGTGATGCTGTTATGCCACTGAGAGCACTTCTTACACTGCCCCCTCCCCTAGCTCTGGATATTTCTGCTTTTCTTTTTTCTTTATTTCTTCTTGATATTTCTGGTTTTCTTGTGTGTGATCGCATATGGGGTTAGAGGGAGCAGCTGTGGATCCAGGAACCCTTGATGCTTCACCTGTGGGCCAGTCTAAGTGAAAGGGAAACCAAGGCAGTGCCAGGGGCCAGAGGGACATGTGCGTGGCTATTTTGGTGGACACTGTCAGATGCCCTCTACAGCGTCTGGGCTGAGTCTTGCTCCTTTGAGGAAGGCAGTGAAAACAGAGACCCGTGTAGTCACAGATGTTCCTCTGTGAAAATAGCATCTGCGTGATGTGTCATGATTTGGGTTTCCTGTGGGAGGACCTGTTCTTCTCTCCTATGCTGTGAGAAGCAGGCCTCATCGTACAGGAAGAAAACAAGTGACAGAAAGTCATGGATGTCCCATAAGCCCCTGGACTTGGGCTGGTCCTGGTCAGTACATGATGTAGCTGTGGTCGAGGGTTTTGTGTGTGTGTGTGTGTGCGTGTGTGTGTGTGTTTCATGTTCCAACTCTACTACTTACTTTGAAGTCTTGGATTTCTTGTTTGTTTTAAAAAATTAATAAAAGTCACTAACCAGAGTTCTGGTGAGGATGAATTTAGTGTTCCATGTTAAATGGCCACCTTGCTTCTTGCTCCAATGGTATGTTTAGTAAATTTTTATTGAATTAATAAAGAGACTATGTAATGAGCAGACCATTGTAGGCACACTGGTGTATCTAAAGCCTTTCTCACATATTACCTTGTTGGAACCTCACACTGACACCATGGACTCCTGGTGTCTACACTTCGGTGGACACTTGGTGTCTGTCCCCTTTCACAGATGAGACCAATGGACAGGGAGCATGGGTTCTTGCCTGTGGCCCATAGCTGGGCAGGGTGGAGGCGACATTTGTGGCTTTGTCCTCAGTTTGCCCCAGGAGACAAATGTCAAGATCAGTCCAATGCAGCCGTGAACTCCTGTGGAACAACTCTTCCCCCAACCCAGAGCAGAAAACAGTGTTTAATCATGCTCATTCAGAGAGTCAGGAGCCCGGGCAGGTCAGGAGGGCAGCCTCCACTGGGAAGACTCCAAGCTGGGGGCAGGAGGAGCTGCTGCCCATCAGGCTTCTTCCTCTGTGGGCCAGGTTGTGTGTCTGTTCCACCTCAAGGAGGAAGGCTGGTGGAAGCCCAGTGTGGGGTGGGCTGAGTGACAGAGACCCCAGACAGGAGCCACAGCCTCAGGGTCGGGCCTGTGGTCCAGGATCCAGCAGCTTCTGAGGCTGGAAGTTGGGATGGGAACTGATCCTTGGGCCCTTTGTACAAACAGTGACCTCCCTTCTACTCTCAGTGGGCTCTCTGGGCCTGAAGAGATCTTTTAACCAGTGGGCCATGGATGGGTGTTTTGACCTTGCTCCCAGAATGTCTCCACTGCGAAAGACCTTTCCCACCACTGAAGGTATACAGGAGGGGGTCAGGTGAGTTTCTATGGTCTCTATTGAATTAAAAGGACCAGAACACAGTGAAAAGGCTCTTGGCACCTAGATCTACCATACACGGGGCGCTAAGTTAATACAGGGCACCATCGGTACCACCACTATTGCTTTTATTGTTAGGACGCACATTTCCAAGTCAGAAGGGTCCCACAGCATGGGCGGATTTGACTTAAAACGATCTGGGATGTCTGCTGTCGCTGGGGGTTGGTGTCTGCAGGCGGGTCCTGGTGGCTCTCCTGGAATGTTGGACTGTCTTCTAAGTCAGCTTTCTGTTCTGGGCTTGGAATGGCTTGGGGCTTGGCTCTGGAGTCTTGACACTGTGTGCTGTGGTGAAGGCCATTCCACTGAAGTCACTGTTCAGTTGAGGTGGGAGGCAGCCTCTCCCTGGTCCCCAGGACAGCAATATGCCCCCAAGTTCAAGGGAGTGGGCAATGGCCAGGCTGGCAGTTCCTGGTGGAGTGATACCCTCTAGTGGCTGTGTGTGGGAATAACAGGCAGCCCAAGCTGAAGGGTCTGGTGGAGTAGGGTCTAGAAGAGAGTAGGACAAATCAGAAGACCTGGTCCAGGCCAGTAGGAATGGGGTAGGAGGAGCAAAGTGTCACTCTCTGCCACTAGAACATCACCGAGGGGCCACACAGCCTCACTGGCCATCTCCATGTGTCCATCCAGCTGTAGAGCAGTTTTCCAGCTCTGCTTGCAAGAGGCGTCCAGGTGATGCAGCTGATGGCAAGGAGCTTCCCTTACCAGGAAGGTGGGAGAGATGGACCACAAAAGCATAGTCAAAAGGAGGAGGGTACATGCAGCGCCAGGTTATAGTGGAGGCTCCAGGGGAAATCTATAAACTATTTAAAAATATCCAGAGCCTTCAACAGAGTATCAGGTTCAACAGAGTATCAGGTTCCCCACCTCAGAGGGGAAGAACATAGGGAGATAATTGCAGGCCTGAGACCTTCCAGTCTCATCCTGTATGGAATTTATGAGCCTCTATGGAATTTAGAGCCTCCACTGTCCAAGGGCTTGAATCTTAGCAGAAAACTCTAGACAGAACATGTCTGTATTCCCCATCTGTCCCAGACTCAGACCTTTGAGCTGTGTGGTCAGAGCTGGAGCCATGACCATCAATCCAGATCCTGGGCTTCTGGGCACCCTTCCCCTAGACTCATCCTAAATACCTTCTCCTGTCTCACTTGTTTCTCAGCTTGTTCATGATGTTTAGGTCTGTGTAGCACTCTGAAGTCTGAAGCTTTGAAAAAAACAAAACCCTTAAAGCCCAGGACGTGGCTGGACGGTCAGATGCGGACAATGAACTGAGCCCAGCCTTGCCTCCTCTTCATTCATCAAAAGGAGTAATGGAAGCCCAGAAAGGGCACGTGGCTTGGCCCAGACTCACAGCTGACAGCTCACAGGCTGGACTTACACCAGGTCACCAGGAGCTCAGGTTACTCCCAGGACTCAGTGAGCCTGTGCTCTTTCCAGTGGCTCCTGGGTTCCAAGAGGCCACAAGGAGTACAGCTAGAAGCTCAGGCTCTATCTAGTCCAGGAGTTTGAGGGGGTCTGGGACACAGCATCTGGCTGAAGTGCAGACAAGTGCTAGCACACACACATACACACACTGTCCCTCTCTGTATAGTAGCCAGAGGATAACCTCAGGTGTTCTTCCTCAGGTGCCAATACCTTTTTTTCTTTTTTATTTAAACAAACTTCCTTACTGGCCTGGAGCTTGCCTCTTGGGCCAGGCTGACTGGCCAACAAGCCCAGGGAATTTTGTGTCTCTGTCTTCCCAGTGCTGTGACACAGGGGCATGCCACTATGCCTGGCTTTTTCCACGTGGGTGCTGGGGTTCAAATTCAGGTCCTACACTTGCAAGGCAAGCATTTTAATGATGGAGTGCATGAGAGACCCTTGGGAAGCACTCTGGTGGAAATTCTGTCCCAGTCAGTCCCCATGAACCATGGCCCCTGTCAGCCGGATCACTCCAGAGGAAGCTGCCCCAGGAAGTTTACATTCTGCTACTGTGAAACTCTGGGCACGGTGGTTCCTAACACTCTCTGATGCCCAAGAAATCCTCACGAGTTTCTTTCCTTTTATCTTTATCTTTACAAAGTAGCCAGGAGTCTCAACACAAGAAAACAGTCCAGGGGAAGCTGGGCCCCTGGCCAGGCAAGCAGGGGATCCGGCTGTTCTTAGTGGGAGACCAGGGAGGAATACAGCTACAGGGTCAGGAGCAGTGCTGTGGATCCCCGCCTGCTAAGTGTAGGGTGGATGTGAAGGTCATTGCCTGACAGGATGAGGTTACATCACATGGAGCTTCTCTCTTGCCTGTATCCTTTCCCAGCTACCCTTGGGCCCTAATGCAAAGACTCCTCCCAGCAACAATGGCAGTTTTAGGCCAATGCCAAGGCGAAGGACAGACTTGCCAATTGGTTTGTCTACCTGACGGCTCTTCCCAGTGTCCTTCCTGTCTAGAGTTAGGGGTACCACAGAGTGTCCATGCAGAAGGTGGATAAGTGGGAGGCCAGCTGAACTGCTGACCCATCAATTTTCTCTACTGCTTCCCCAAACACCCTCAAGCTTCTTCACAGATGTGCTGTGCTGAGTGAAGGCAGAGAATGCTTGCCCATTACTCCCTTAGACGTCAGTTTCTCTATGGGTATGATGGGCAGCGGGTAGCAGGGGGTGAATGGAGTGGGTGGGACCATCTCTAAGCTCCACTTGGCTGCAATAGCCTTTGGGACCACCGAGTAACAGGACTAAAAGTCCCACCTGATCCTGTACACGGGTCCCCGAAGGCTTTGGGAGGGTGGGTGGTCAGCTGGGGAAAAGTCATGGCACTCCAAAAGGGAGATGGATCAGGGATGGGGAGTGGGGTTGGGACTCAGGGTGTGTTGCAGGCACTTGTAAGGGGATTTGCTGGTGGGCTTCGGGCCACTTCTAGCTAAAGAGGCCCTAGTGGATCCTATACCACCATTCTGGACAAAGGGTGCAGGCTGGGCCTTGGGAGGTCCTGGAACCATTCCTGGTGGCCTCATGGCAGAGGCACTGGCTGAGTGCTGCAGAATCGACCTTGAAGGAGTGGTCCTGGTGAGGGGTTCACAACTCAGATTGCAGGGCCTTTCTGGATAGAAGCAGGGCTTCCAGGGCCTGCCAAGTTGTACCCAAACCTATTCCTCATAAATTGTAACTCTGAAAAGGTGGAGTCAGGATAGGGTCATAGAAAAATCTAGAAAAATAAAGTTTGCTTTGAAGTCTAGAGAACCACATGGAGGACAGAGGCACAGTTTCTCTCTCTCTCTCTCTCTCTCTCTCTCTCTTATGTCTGTTGGTGTATGGGGGTTGGATAGTGAAGAACAGAAAGTAAAACAGGAAAAAATGAAGAAAAAGGGACACGGAGAGAAGGAAAGGTCCAAAGAAGAAGAAACAAGGAAGTGAACTGAGGGAGGAGAGGAAAACAGAAAAGGATAAAATATAATGTCGAGACAGGAAGGGTAGCAAATGGAAAGAGTGAAGGGTGTGGGGAAATAGCAGGGCAGGGGAGAAGGGAGGAGGCCGTAGTGGAAGGGCAGCAAGTCAAAGGCGTGAGCCAGAACTGGAGATGGTCATTGTGAGCCAGGCTGAGGTGGTCTTTGCTCCAACTTCCTGTCCTTGCGCTGGCGCCGATCCTTCCGGCTCTTCCGCCTGGGATTTCTCTCTGGAAGAGAACACAGGTTCCGGGGAGGTCCTGAGAGATGAGGAAACCCCAAGTAGCCCCAGCAGGTCCTGTAGCTGGACTGCTGCACTCAAAGTCACCCTGTTGTAAATTTGGGGCTGCAGGTGAAACTGTTGCAGACAGAATCCTCCTTGGTGATTCCTAGGGGGTCAGGAGGACTCTGACTTGAGGAGGGAGTGTCAGAAGTAAAGGTGGAGCTGGGCAACAGCCTGTAAATATGGAAGGACCAGCACCTGTCAGGACTTAGGATGGCCTCATGGGGTCCCCATGTCCTCCTAACCATGTACTACCTAACTGTTAATAAGGCTTCTCTGCCGCCCAAGTCCCTCACAACTCAGCCAGGCTCAGCCCTTACGAGCATCCCCGAAAGCCCAAGTCCCTTAAGTTTAGCTGCTGCTTGGCCTGAGCCGGATGACCCAGAGAGCAAATCCATGCATTGGGAGCAAAAGCTACTACCATTTCTATCCCATTTGACAGGCAGGTGAAGCAGTTGGCCACAGCCGCTCCTGCAGTGCAGAGGGCTGGCTGCACATCCCAAACCCAGGTCTCATCTTGACCCTGGTGTGTCCCACCAACCCTGGAGGAACATGGCACATGCCCAGTGTGAACACCTGATTAGTCTCTTCTCAGATAGGGTGGCCAAAGACTGGCCAGCGGATTAACTTGCTCAGTGGCCTGGAGTTCCTGGAACCAGTTCTGACTTCCATTCAGAGAAGCTCATCTGGGCTGAGGCCGTCTGGTGACCAGTGGCCAGATGGCAGACGGTGTGGACAGAGTCCCAGCATGCTGTCTCTAGGAGACCTGAGTGTTCCCAGCAGGGCCCTCAGCTGGCTTCCCTCAGCAGCCCTGCTTGGCTCACTGTCATTAGCCCTGCCTGTGCCTCCCAGTAGCGGTCCTCGCTGCTGGTGCACCTTTGTGGGAACCTGCCTGCTCCCTGGGGCACCCCTCTTCCCAGCTGCTAGCTGCCATCATTGATTGACAGGAGGAAAGACTGAGGTGTGTCTGGGAGTCAGGCCAATCCTAAAATTTGAGTTTATAAGGTGAGGAGTCACCCAGGCCGTTTTCATATGCTCTTTCAAGGCAGTCTCCTGGGGAGTTGTGTGCTCTTGGAACTGATGACATCACCCAGAGCACTGCTTTCCAAGGACACAGAGCAGACAGGGGGAGATGTCAGAACCCTGTCACAGACAGGGCAAGAACTGTCTCTCCATGGCTAACTGTGCTCTCACAAAGGAGCCAGGGTGTCAGCATCTCCCTTTGCAGGGCAGATTCAGAATCACCCATAGACCAGGCCGTCCACTTTTGGGGCTCCCCACCAAATCTAAATCCTTGGAGGCACCATGCAGGGGAAGATGGAATCTGGGGACGTAGGAGAGCACTCCCTGAGAGGTCCTTGTCAGCTCTGAGGGCGGGGACTGGGAGAGATGCGTGATCTGTGTCCCCCACCTTCCCCTGTGCCAGCCCATCCACACCACCATGATCCTGCTCACCCGAGCAATCTCCCACCCACCCATACGCCCTCCAACCCATCGAGTCACGGACTCACAGAACTACCTACCTTTCCATCGACCGGCCCACTCACCCCTGCACCCTCCAACCCACGCACCCACCAACCACTCACCCCTCTACTTACCCACCCACTCAACCTCTCACCTACTCGCCTGTCTGCCCACTCACTCACTCACACAACTACCTACCCAGCCACTCACCCACCCACCCGTCCATCCTCCCTCCACCCACACGTGTACCCCTCCCACAAAGTTAACATCCGGGTCCTGTTCCAGCGCCAGAGATGGCGTGGTCCTCCTCGGAGACCACAGACAAGTGCAGAAGGCGCAGGGCTTTCCCCCCGGGGTGTCAGTGCAACGATGTGATGTAACATGCCTGAAGATGGCTCTGTGAGGGGGAGCTCAGAGAAGCTTTCCTCGGAAGAGGAGCCTGAGCCAAGGCACATATGAGGAAGCTCTGCAGGCTTGTGGGAACTCATACTAAGCACATGCCACTCCCATAAGTCCCCTCAGTGCCTGCACCACAGCTCCTGGTACCACCATCTGTGAAAGCACTTTCCTTGAGTTGTGGATGTCTAGTCTCATCTTCTAGGTCCCCCCACTCTTTGTCCCAACTGCCCATTGTATGTGTGGGTGGTGGTGGTTGTGGTGGGAAAACCCTAGATTCAAATTCTGCCTCCTCCATGTCTCGGCTGTGTGTCTGTGTGCTCCGGCCCCAGGTCTTTCACTGTTGACTACAGTTTAGATTCTTCTTTGCCTACTGGCTAACATTTGGCTACCGACATCACCTAGTGGCTCTGTGACCCCGGGGCATGCCTCTCAAGCTCTGTGGGCTTCCGTCTCCTGAAATGGGGTAATAACCACACCCACATCCTGGCCACTGGACGGATCAAAGGAGCCAGCAACTCTAGAAAACTCAGCACACCGTGCTCATGCTGGTGCCATCTCCCTCACACTCCATGACCCATGCACTTGTCTCTCTTTTGCAGCTCTTAGTGGTCCCCATTGGAAACCTGTGGCCTGACGTGCTCCAGTGGAGGGGTCTCTGTGGCATTAGTGAGGTGGTAGAGGCATAGCTTCCCACTCTACTGTTGTGTAGCGGACAGCATCGATTCCTCAGAGCTAGGATCTCTTTGCATCTGTGTGCCTAGGGTTGTACAGTGTTTCACTCCAATCTCTATGGCAACCGTGGCTCCCTGCATTCCTGGGACCTGTCTCTAACTGAGTCTGTATGTTGAGTCAGGCAGCTCTCTTTTGTGTTATAGACACCACACCCATACTCCCATGCACTCCACTAGAAACAGCAGACCTTTCTGAAATCCTTACGGCATGGGGGTCTGGGTACCGCAGACCAGCCTTCCTACTATGTCTGGAACCCTTCCCTGGAAATACCCCACAGGGTGATGCCTAACTCCCAGGAAGGGCTGGCAGGCAGGGGCCCTTGCAGACACAACCTGTAGGGCTCTCTGTCCGTAGACGCTAGAAATCACCCCTGGGTCTTTCCCAGCGTGGCCCCGCAGGCCTGGTGCTCACCTCCCGGGCAGGGCCTCTTTATAGGACACCTCCTGGACTCAGATAACACTTGGCAACTCGCCAGCTCCTCCTGCGTGGCTGGGCCGGCCTCCCGCAGCCGGGTCTCTAGGCCCCAGCCCGAGCCACAGGTCTTCCCATTGTGTATGCAGGGACTCCAGCTGCCCCAAGGGCTCGGCTCACACTCCTCTGCGGGTGAAGGGAGAGGCAGACAGGTGAGCCAGTTGGCAGTGTGTGCCCCTTGGATTCAAGGACCAGGGGTTTGAGGATACCATCTCCACCTGCAAGGGACTCAGTCTGTTGCAGCAGCAGAGAACACACATAGAGACTGCTATCCACAGGGGCCTGAGAAGGGGTCAGTGAAGGCTGAGCCAGAAGCCACTGACGAGGAAGGCTTCCCAGAGGAGGTGACAGAGCTGAGTTGGGCCTCCCTGGCCAGCAGGATTTGAGAGCCATGCGGCTGGAATTCAGAAAGGTGTAGGAACTGGGGGCAGACATGAAGTAGCTGGCTGTTAAAAGGTCCTCAGGAGCAGAGTTCTAGCTTTGAACTTGACCATATGCCTTTGACCAACTATAGAAGGCAAAGCCACCTAGTGCTGTTGTGAGGGAAAACAAGGATATGGACAGGAAGTCCTCAGAAAAGGGAATTTTAGACACATTCCTTTCATCTTGGAATGGGAGGTAGCACCAAGCTCAGGGGACAGTGAATGTCCTGTCTTAGGTGCTGAGGCCTGGAGCAGGAACAGGTGTGTCTCCAAATCTCAGGAAGCTATGCTGCCACCACACAATGGATTCACCAGGTAAGTCAAGACTGAGTACCTTCTGTGAGACCCAGGGCTGCAGGTACAGAAGGGCAGCTGCATATAAGAGACAGCCACCTGCTCCCAGAATGCAACACGTTGAGGTATTACACCAGGAAGGCAGGGTGCTTTGTATGACTCTGGAGGGCACAGAAGCTACGGGAGCCCAGAAGAAGCATGGACCACACCCTTGGGTCTAGGAAGACTTCTTGGAGGAGATTGTGGTACTGAGTGTCCAGTGGGGTGGGAAGGAGGGGTAGGAGGTGTTTCAGATGGATGGAATCCCCCACAAAGTCCCCAGGATGCTGATCCAGGATAGGCACACCCAGCCTGGAAGAAGAGGAAGATGGATGAAAAGGCCACAGACAGGGACTGATTGCTCAGGGCTCTGCCAGGGCCTAATAGGAGCCACGGAAGGGCCATGAGCAGCAGAGGCATTTTACAGCTTGCTATCTTATCTATTCTGGTCTTGGGTTGGGGTGCAGGCTCAGAGACAGACCCAGGAGGTCACACCAAAGAAGAAAGATGTAGGCAGTGGTTGATAGGGTGGGTCCCGGAACTCTATGCTGCTTCAGGATTCTTCTCAAAGATTCTGCACCTAAATGCCAACTGCATGTCCCTTCTGTCCCCCACTGAAGTGTGGAGACAAAGACCTCAGCCATCTCCTGGGATCCCCCTGTCTCTCACATTCCTGGGGTCACAGTGAGCGCCCAGGGTGCCTGGCTTTTCTGTAGGTGCGGGGACCCACACTTGCACAGCAAGCCCTTTTCTCATACAGCCCCTGGCCCCATGTAGTCACTTTGTGCAAGTCTTCAGAAAAGCCCTGGGACACACTTGGAGTGACTTTCTTGAGATGGCTGCAGATAACACTGTTCCTTGTTGCCTTGCTGGTGAGAACACCCTTGGTGACAAGAGCAATGCCAGAGTTGGTGGCACAGCATCCGTGATCCTGATGGTTACCCTGGCACTAGAACCCTGAGGATTCTCTGTGTACCAACAGGCCGCTAAGGCTGCCCATTAATAGCTTTCAGGTCTCCTGCCCTTTCCCCAAGGTCGGGACAGGTGGCCAGGGCATCACTTACCCTGGCACTCTTGGGTACTCTGGTGGATCAATGTGCCTGGTGGACAGGTGGGCAGGCACTTCCCTTTGTAGAGGTGAAACCGCCGTTTGCACCGGATACAGAAGTCCTGGCTGAAACAGCTCTCGCATGTGGCCCCACATTCTGTAACAGAGCCAGGGACACCACATGTAAGCTGCCTGGGACGGGGCCTCACGGGTCTGCCTGAGGTGGGAAGATCTCTGTGCAGCCCCAAGTGCTAGAACATTGGATCAGAATATGGTATCTTGTCAGCAGTCCAGACTTGGCCATTGTTGTTGAGTACCGGAAGCAATACACTGAAAGTCACATAGCAAATCTGGGTTGGGAGTGAGGTTCCTTCACCCTTTACCCATAACACTCAGAGATTAGTGATTTTTTCCTAGGTCACAGTGAAAACAGAGAACAGGTCAGGACTACCTTTCATACTGGAGCTAGACGCAGGTGAGGCGAATAGCCTGCTGGAGGCCATACGGAACCCAGACCTGCTGGTGTTCCCTTACAGCGGACGGTATCAGGGAGGAGAGAGACGACCTGGCCGAGGGCTGCAGGGCCGGCTGGAACCAGCAAGCTTGGGGTTGGGCATGGTCCTGCTTTCCCCCCGGGGCAGGTTCTGGGAAATGGTGGGATACTGGGCAGCCCAACCCAAACTTGCCTACAACGTGGGAGGAGACACGTACTCTTGCACCTGTTGGCCTCCTGGCCACGAATCCCAAAGAAGCCGAGGGGACAGTCGTGTACACATTTGCCGTACTGACGGATACCTTCCCGGCGGATGAACAGGAAGAGCCTCTGCTGGCAGGTGGAACAGCCGTTCTCTTCCGAGCATATGACACAGCCGGTGCAGTTGCCTCCCAGACCAATGCCTGCTGCAGCCAGACCAGGTGGGAGAGAGACAGTCAAGTCACATATGTGAGCTACTTGAATGGACTCATCAGGCTATTTATTAGCTGGATACAGTAGAAGGCTACGTTTCCAAGCATTCTTGACTACTAGATATCATGTGATCAAAATTTGGCCAATGGAACATAAAAGAAGGCATTTAGAGTCTGCTGATATGAGAGAAATCAATGCCTGCTTTTCTCGACTACTGCAAGCTTTTCATAAGAGCACATTTGCTCTTCAGTAAAGCAGTATTTGTGTGTGTATGTGTGTGCGCATGTGCGTACACTCATGTCTGTGGGCGAGACCATCACCTTCCTTCTTGGTTTCTGAATACCAGTCCCCACTGTCACCATCACAAAAGCTCCTGCCATCGTCAGGTTCAGACAGTCAAGGGGAGAAAGTAGCAAGCAGGCTGCAAGACTGGGGAGAAAGTGAGCAAGCCTCTGGAGTCGGGTCAGATGCTCTCTGCCAAGGCTCGCAGGCAGATCTTTGCCAAGTCAGGTGGGGCTAGCCTTCATGCCCCAGCCCTGCCACCAGGCCTTTCTTTTATCTCTCTGAGTGGAGAAGGGGGCCTGGAAGAGTGGAGCAGAAAGGGGCAGCAGACTTCATGGCAGGCATGAGGAGCTTGCAGCCAGGGAACCCACGGAAGAGCCAGGTCATAGGGTCTGGTTGTATCTTGCAGAGGCATGTGCCAGGAGAGAGGGAAGAACTATGTAGACCACTGGGGACAGGATGCTGGAAGAGTCGGAATCACTAAGCAGAATTCACTTTTGCAGGGTCACCAAGAAAGGACATGGAAGCTGCCCAGAGGACATTAAATTGCTGTTTTTTAAAAATATTTTTAAACTTAATTTTCAATTTTTATTAATTACAGTTCATTCACATTGTATTCCCCCTGTAGCTCCCTCCTCCCCTCCCAACCCCACCCTCCTTCCCCCTTCTCCACCCGTGTGCCTCCCCAAATCCACTGATAGGAGAGGTCTTCCTCCCCTTCCTTCTGATCCTACTCTATCAGATCTCATCAGGAGTGGCTGCATTGTCTTCCTCTGTGCCCTAGTAAGGCTGCTCTCCCCTCATGGGGGAGGTGATCAAAGAACAGGCCAATCAGTTCATGTCAGAGATAGTCCCTGTTGCTGTTACTATGGAATCCACTTGGACACTGAACTGCCATGGGCTACATATGTGCAGGGGTTCTAGGTTATCTCTATGAATGGTCCTTGGTTGGATTATCAGTCTCAGAAAAGACCCTTGTGCCCAGATTGTTTTCTTGGTTCTGTTGCTCTCCTTGTGGAGCTCTTGTCCCCTCCATGTCTTACTGTCTCTCCCTTATGCTGGAGAGGATGTGGAGAAAGGGGAACCCTACTCCACTGCTGGTGGAAATGTAAACTTGTACAACCACTTTGGAAATCAATCTGGCACTTTCTTCGACAATTAGAAATAGTGCTTTTTCAAGATCCAGCTATAGCACTCCTAGGCATATATCCAAAAGATGCTCAGGCATACAACAAGGACATCTGCTCAACCATGTTCATAGCAGCTTTATTCGTAATAGCCAGAAGCTGTAAACAGCCCAGATGCCCCTCAGTTGAGGAATGGATACAGAAATTGTGGTACTTTTACACAATGGAATACTACTCAGCAATAAAAAACAAATAAATCATTAAATTTGCAGGCAGATAATGGGAACTGGAAAAGATCATCCTAAGTGAGGTATCCCAGAAGCAGAAAGACACACAAGGTATATATTCACTTATAAGTGGAGATTAGATATATAATATAGGATAAACATACTAAAACCTGTACACCTAAAGAAACTAATCAAGAAGGAGGACTCTGGCTAATATGCTCAATCCCCATTCAGAAAGGCAAAGAGGATGGACATCAGAAGACAGAGAAAACAGGGAACAGGACAGGAGCCTACCACAGAGGGCCTCTGAAAGGCTCTACCCTGCAGGGTATCAGAGCAGATGCTGAGACTTATAGCCAAACTTTGGGTGGAGTGCAGGGAATCTTATGAAAAAATATTTTTATTTATATGCCTCATCAAGCTGGGCAGTGAATGAGCTGATTACTCACCCTAGCCCACCTGAATACAGGGCTCCAGGAGGAGGACATTCTTGGTTCTCCAGCTCCCAGCCCTTCTGTTTCCATTAGAGTGTATCTTCCTCACGGAGGCACATCTGGTGAGGTACCAGGACCTCCCTAGAGCAGAGACCAGGGGCCACCTTTCCTCCTGTCAGCAGACAGCAGTCCTCTCAAAGCCTGGATGACATCCCATGCCTGGTACACAGTGAGGGACTGTGGGAACGCCCGTGGTCTCTGCCCCTCTCTCCTATCTCCCTAACCAGACACCTGAGGGCCTTCCACCTTGTAGCCCCATTTCTGTCGCTGACACCCAGGGAGCTGACGGGTGTGGGTGGCCCTCATAGGGTCACAGTGTAGCAGATGTGCCCTTGTGACACAGCCCCGTACCAGCCAAGGGCGCCAGGGCCCTTGATGCTCTTGCTTAGGAAGAGGATATGCAGTGGGACAGGACAGTAAAGACTTGGCACCTCCGAAAGTGTGAAGCCATGAGAGAGCCCCAGGAGAGAGAGAGAGAGCCAGAGCCACTCACCCAGCAAAACCTGCTCAATTTGAACAACGCCAAGAACAGACAGGAATGAGAGGAGAGGAAACTCCTCCTCCTGCTAGGTGTGTAAATCCTGGGTGATGTTAGCATCCAGTCAATTTGAAGACGTGCCTTCTCACCCCCAGCATCTGAGCCTCACTCCAGAACGGCTGTGTGATTGGTTATGATGTTGACGCAGGAGAGACAAACAAAACAAAACAAAACAAAACAAAACAAAACAAAACAAAACAAAAACAGGGTCATGAGAAGGGAAAGGAACCCCACTCTGGGGTCTGGCTGAGGACTCAGCCTCGGAGGAGCATTAGTCTCAGTGTAATCAATAGCATCCACTTGAGGCCTTCTCTTCTTCCAAATGGAAACGTGAAATTTTCTAGAGCCTCCTTGTGAAGCTCCAGTGGCTCATGGTTTTACTTTATCAGATTATAATTCTACCCAAGAGACACCTCAGAATCTTAGTGATCAAAAAAGGGGCTAAATGTAGGGGCGAGTTGGGTACCTTATGAACAGGGACTAGGGAGATGGTTTAATGGACAAGAGCACTTGCTGTCAAGGCATGGGAACCTAATTCAAATCCTCAGCACCCACAGAAAAACCATGGCTGGCCATTCAGCTCCAGCATTGAGGGGTAGAGACAGGCAGATCCCAGGAGCTGTCCAGCCAACCTAGCCAACGATGAGCTCCAGGTGCAATGAGAGATCCTGCCTTGAAAAGACAAAATGGAAGGTAATCGAAAGGTAATAAAGGAAGATACTCTGATGTCCTCTTCTGCCCTCTGAATGGATGTGCATTACACACACACACACACACACACACACACACACACACACACACACATACACACACGGGCCACAGAGGGACAGAGTGGATTTTCAGTAGCTCCCAAAGTCCTTTCTTTATATTGTCACCATCAGGACACTTCGGTGTGACTCTTTTTTGAGAAACCCTACTCCTCCAATGCTCTTGGGTGTGTCATATTGTTTCCCCGAGTGACCTTGAATTTTTAATAAACTCCACTTCATCCCAGACTACCCTGAAACACTTTTCTGCGTTGAAGCCAGGGGTCCCTTTTTATCTGAGTTGAGATTAAGGGAACTTCTTAGCCACCAGCGGTGATTGTTCCTCCATCCCACAATAACTGACAGGAACAACTCTAGGGGAGGAGAGCTTTACCTGAGCCCAAAGTTTCAAAGCAGTTCCGTCCATGATGGCAGAGAAAGAATGGTGGAGCAGAGCAGCTCGTGGCTGTGAGAGCATGTGGGAAAGGCTGCTGGCATACCAGTGGCCCAGGAAGCATGGAGGGAGATAGGAAGTTGGGCTAAGGACAATCTTCAGAGACTACTTTTAGTAGTCTGTGCTAGTCCTGCCAGGCAGGCCCCTCTTCCTAACAAACAGGTCTGCAGCTCTCAGAACAGTTTCTCCAGCTATGGAACAGCTTTCAAAGTACCAAGCTATGAGAGACATTTCAGATTCAAATCATCACAGGAGGTCTAGGACGGGGCCTGAGAATCTGCTTCTCTATCTGCTGGCAGGTGACCAGTCAGCAGACCTCTCTTGGGAAACCACAAGGCCAAGAAAGTTGTTGCATATCTGTGCCAAGAGACCTCGACAGAGATGTTTACTGCAGCGGGGCTTAATGGCGCACAGTCACAAAGGAGAACCCGCTGCGGGAGGAAGAGATAAACACGTGGTGGTGGCGTCATACACACAGCCACACCACACACGCAGCGTGGCCATGATAAACGACCCAGGTGGAGTCAGTTATCATTGCGGATGCAGCTCGAAGCCAACGAGGAGAAGAAAGAGCAAGCTGTGCGATGAGTCATGTAGAAGGCACCATGTGGGTCAAGCTCAGCAGCAGAAGCAGCATTTGCAGCATTGACTGCGCACGAGGCATCTGAGGAACGAGGGGCATATGAAGGGTGCGTGCACGCTTAAGTCAGGATGGGGGTGTATCTTGGGCAGAGGCGGGGGAGGGGTTTGGGAAAGAAAACCAGACCGCAATCATATTTACCGTGTTTAACTTCCTACAATTTGAAGCAAATGTGGACGTGGAAAGGTTTGGCCAAAATGGTTGACGAGGATGGGTGGGTGGGAAGATGGCTCAGCCAGTAGAGACTGCCCTGAGAGCTTGAGGACCCAAGTTCTGACCTTTACAGCCAGGCAGGGTAGAGTGCGGCCGGAACTCCATTGCGCTGGAGGTGCAGGCAGGGGGAGTCCCTGGAGCTTGCTAGCCAGCCAATCTAGCCAAATTAGAGAGCTCTGGGTTGAGCAAGAGACGGATCAAAACAAACAAAGAAGCAAACAAGGCGGAGAGTGGCTGAGGAAGACATTCAGTGTTGACCTCTGCCTTCCATA